TGTCAGTTATTTGTAGATTTTATTCACTATGATGTCACTAACAAGTGACGTAACATCTATCATGTGATATATGTCAGTTATTTGTAGATTTTATTTACTTATTTATTTACATTCATTCTTTCAGAGATCTCATATTGGCTGCCATCTTGCAAGGTAAGTTGATATTGATAGAGATTTATTATTTGGTTTTAAACTGTTAATGCTTGGACTCAACCAGCCTAACTCACCATGTTTCATGGGAATGTTTTGTGATCTTTCAACTGGATCATCTGTTCTATATTCAGCTAATCGTCTGACGGTGGCTGTGAGTGATATTCTTAGTCCAGGGCCTGGTGAAGAGGACGTTAGTAGGTCTTTTACCAATTCATCGTTAGACCGATCCGACAACGAAGGAACAATCTCACCTCAGGTTAGTCTTTTTACCTCTTTTCTCATTCCTGTCTGTTTGCCTGCCAGCCTTCTGCCTGTCAGTCTGTTTATCTGTTCACCTTTCCGTCTGTCTGTCCGTCCACCTGCCTTATGTCTTTCATCGTCTGTCTGTCCACCCGCCGTCTGTCCACTTTTCCGTCTGTCTGTCCACCTGACATGTCTTTTTGTTCGTCTGTCTGTCCACCTGCCTTATCATGTTTGTGTGTCTGTCCAACTGCCTTACATCAACAGGAGGAAATTTAATTGCGTGTATTCTCTACTTTCACATCCCCATAATTCCTTGTGTGTTTGGGGGTAACCATTCAAAAAACTGTCCCAAATTGAAAGGTTTCTTAATTGAATTTATACTATACCTGCTTTTATCTGTACAATACTGATTATCAGTTTATTCCAAGTTATTATTGCATGTACAAATCATCAAGAGCTTTGGTCTTACAGAAAATGTATTGACTTACGAAAAAATGTTTAAAATTTACCTTAAACGTATTCAAGCTTCTATCTTTTTCTGTTTTTTTACTTCATTTTATCTTTGGATACCAAACAAGGTATTTTCAACATTGTCTGATCAGCCTTCAGCAAAATAAGTGGGTTTTTACCCTCTGGTTGCCCCCCAAAGACGCAAAGTATTATGGGGATGTTAAAGTAGAGAATGCCACCAGTTAAGTAATTCAATCCACCTGATGTCTATTTGTCCGTCTGTTCACCTGTCTGTCTGTCCTGTTACCTTTTCTCTACCCCTGTCTTCATGTCTATTGTTAATCCAGTATTTTTTCCTTTAATAGCAACAGTTAGTTTTATCGACATCAATATTAAATGAACAGCTTACAGCCCTATTGGTAAGTAGTGCATGATCACAGCATCAGTTCCTGTACTATTGGCAAAACCCAAAATGGTTTTTCCATTTCTCGTTATTTCAAGTTCCACCTCTCAATTGCCCTATTTCACTATGGCGTCACATCAAAACGATCTGTTGTTTAAACGCAAAGGATCATGGTCGTCGGAGGGGGTCAAATCAACGCAAATGCACTGAAAATTGTTCTAAAACCCGTATCAATCACATATTATATCTGAAAACCAGCACATTTTAGATTAAACTGTTTTGCTAGGAGCAAATTTTGTTGAAATTTCTATTGGATTTGGCGATACTATCCCCCACATAAACAAGCAGTGACGTCATAGAGTAGATATAGTATGAGCATTGCGCGTTGACAGTATGAATTTGGAGGCGTCACGCAACTATTCACAACGTTCGCCGAATAACTGACAAAAATCAAAACAGAACAGAGCATGCATATGTTACTCGTAAGCTTCTTGCTAGATGATCTAATCTATTGACTCTTGACCAGTACTCTTGTTGTCATTGTCCTCACACAGAAAATAACTGTTTATTCACTTGCTATTGTTTTCAGGGGATAATTACAGACCGAGATATGGCAAGAGAAAGGTGAGATGTAGTTTTCAGACCTTGGGCCTATCCGCAGATAACCCAATGATTGATAACAGTATTGTGCCTAACTGAGTTAATGCTTCCTGTTCTTAGTTTACAAAGTGAACTTCAAGGTGCCAACAGTCAAATACAACGGCTCAAACAAGGGCGTTCCTCATCCCGGCGAACACGTGATTCTGGAAGCTCAAGCTATATATCACGTGATGATGATGACGATGATGTTTATCATGGCTTCCGGTCAGCGGACTTGCGAAGACCCAGTTCACCTACGTCGTCAGCAGCCGATATAGACTCCGGTAAGCTTGGGCACTTTCACTTTTAATCTGCGTCTTACCTTAGATGTCTTATATGGACATGTGTGTCTAATTTTATCTCTAGATTATGCACCTTTGTCTGAGGCGAGTGCAAGTGACTGGCTATCAGAGGACAATATGGTATGTAGCAATCTATTTCATTTCAATGCGCTGCTTCATTATCGCTGCATAAATCTTGACAACATTGGCCCTGTTGTTAGTGTTTATTTGGTTTTTATTTTGGGTCAAAGTTTTGACTGTTCTTCTCATGCTCACAGGATGTAGGTAGATCATCATCATTCAGCTATCGCGATAGAAATTCACTGGTAAGTCTTACCAACTGCTTTTACAACACATATTCCATATGACGTAATTGTCTCATGGCAATCCAGTCAGTATATCATCATGTTATCATTTCATCATGTATTTTGTGAATAAAGGTGATGACTATTAGGGCTAAAAATAAAACTTATATAAACCCAAAATGCATGCTATTAGTCACGGTAAAATAACTTCAAAAAACATAAAAATAAAACGAAATCATAAAACAAATAACTATGCACTGCTTTATATCTATAAAATAATGAGCCATAAGTTGCGCTAAATTGGGTTAAATGAAGCAAGTGTAAACTTGGATGACTAAAAAATTGGATACGATTTGAACTTTATAAGTTAAGACATGTTGTTTTACTGTTAAAGATATTAACCAACCCAGATCTTGCCATCGGATCAGAGTGCCTCGACGTATGACCTTTAGGTAAGTTGTCATGGTAACATCATTGTCCAATCACAGATACTCGCTAAACGCATGTTTCCATAGACACATGCATCACATGTAGATGGGACAGTATCACGTGGCCCAATCACAGAGCACCCACTAGTCTCAGGCCATTTCTGAGTTCGATAAACGGGATGTATTGTCGTCTAGATTCGGTCAGAAACTCGTAAGGGGGTTTAAACGTTTAAAACATTAACAATGCTCCGGATTATTGAGATATGCAAATTAGGAGTTTTGATACCATATTTAAAATTATGAGTTTGGTTTCAAGATATCAAACTTCTCTCCGAATTTCCTGACTTTCATGGGAGATTTACGGAATCTTACAATCAAACATTTGAGATATCTGTCTTTAATTTAGTTTATATTCCAGAGCGTCGTAAGAAAAAAATGTATAGCTGTTAGACGTTTCAACCCACGTTTCTGATTCGATACAAACAATATCAATATAAGACGTGATAAACAAAATACGTTTTGTACAGAAGCTAGACCACAATGCATCATGTTCTCTATCTATCTCAGAAAAGGTCTATGTTTCCATGTTTTCATGTAAAATAAGCACGTTCCGTGTATGTGAGAACAGTATCACGTGTTTTGCTGGTGTCATAGTAAACTAACATGTGTAACACCAATTCACGTATTTATGTATCTTGTTATCTTGTTCATCATGCTTCCCTTAGCCTATAGCATATTGCATTTTGTTGGATTCCCATATAAAATATTTATCACTAATGATACAAGTGCTTTGATCACGTGACGTCCTGAACCTTTCTACTCGCACTGAACATTTAAGGGACTGAATCATATACACATTTCGTAACAGACTAGCGGATTTTTTCTTGATAAACCTGCAATAAATCCTAGTACACTCTGAATTAAACTCCAATAAACTATTACAAGTTATAAAAAATCTAAAATATAAAACATGCCTAACTTTTTATTTTGCTTGGTAGATAACTAAATCTTGTCTGGCTTGCCTTATCAAAGATATTTTAAACCTATAACTCCACGTTTTAACGTACAAGATAGAGGTTCATAATGACCCATCTTCTGTCCTTGCTTTCTACTCATGCGTAATTTGATACAGACTGTAGAGTAATGCAGTCTCATCCCTCCCTCCCCTACAACACCTCGAGTCATTGCATTGTGTTCAAAAAATAAAAGTATTCTATCCTACACATTTACTGAGGCCACAGGGAACCCGGCTTTCGGAACTTTATATATTTTTCTTTCACATAATTCTTATGGGTTTGGTAGATGACTTAGCTCTTTATGGGTTTCTTGTGTTTTGACATCAGTTTATGTTTACATAAGCTATAATCAGAGCTGTACTGTTGGGCGTTGCTCTTTATGGATCGCCTGTGGTGTTCAAAAGTAACGCACCTTCTAGTAAGTAGTCAAAAGAAGAAACTCGCTTTCTTTGTTGCAGCTCTTCTTTTCTTTTGGCTGCTTATTAGAGTGCTTTACCAACGGCTATCAATTTGAATTAAATCGGGTCTATCGATTTACAGTCAGTATCAGATTGACAGAAACCGATTTAGAACCACAAAAAAACCCATGATAAGCAAACATATTTCAAAATAATCATTCAACCAGGCTCCAAAACCCTGGTTCCCTGTGCTGAGTTCTGTTTTTTTCATTTTTATTTGCTACGTTACCTAGACAACAAGTGGATACCGATCTTCAACAGCGTCCTCGCAAACTTCACGACACAGGTATCCCGCCAGCAAGACCTTGTATTGGAGCGACGACCCCGACACAGAGTCCCAATTTTAGGATTTTATCGTAAGCCAGTTGCGTTAATCCATTAATATCAATAGCATTATATTTAATGGTCCAAACACGACCGCAATCCCGAAGGTATTTTGCCAAACACGATTTGTAGACAGCTTTTACTATTAACCAAAGCTTTAATAGAAAAGCAAAGATGAGCAACTATTCATTAGAGTGTAGACCTTGTATCCGTGAAATAGTACTAACTGATAAGTACAAAAAAGCACCAATGAAACATTCGAAAACAAAACAAATAGATTTGTTTAGTGATACTTAATTTTTATGCTATTTCATGGATATATTGTTTACACTCTACTCAACGAATGATGTTCTTTGTACATCACCTTCCATAGAAAATTCGTATTTTTAACTCATTAAATCGTCAAACACGGGGCAAATATTTTTACAATTTCAATAGCTGATAAGAAAGTTTGGTCCATTTTGATGACCAGGTGTAGCAAAACAAGAAATTGTAAAGAAAGACTTCAAAATTAAATTATAAGAATAAGAGATTTTTTATAAATGTTTTTATAAGAGTAGACAATAATACAAATGCGCGTCCAGTGAATCCCATACAACCATTCATATCCCTAAGGCAATAATAATTTAACTGCGAAGACTAGACTAATGAAGTCAGTCAATTTGTTAGATTCCCGCCAAAAGCGCGCGCGTGCGTCTTTCTTTCTGCATATTTTGATGAATGAAATCTATTGGAAGCGGTTTTTATATAAGCGACGTTCTTATTGGCTATTGTAATGGTGGTAGAAATGATACGAACTAATAAAATTACTGTTGATACTTGCTGCGATTTCCAGTCACATGCGACCAACTAAGACCTAAATCACAAACGAAAAATTGAGGTGGATCCTAACTAATTCAGAGCGAATTTTGGATTATTTTATTCAATTTCATAACTATTTTTCTGCCTGGACTTTCCATCCAAATTTATACACGGGTTGCAGTAGTATTAGATGAAAAAATTCTAAAGTTTTCAGAAAAATCGTACCTATAGGCGATAAGGAGAAAAAGCCAAAAACTAAAAATAGCACTGTTTGATTTTCGGCTGTAATAGGCTAACAGTTTACTTAAGAATCTTAAAATAAAATAAGCTATTAGATTACCAAAGCACATTATATGAAAAATCCAGTCAAACTGACGCACTAGTTTTGCGTAGCAAGCGAGAATAAAACTGTCCACTGAAAATTCGCTCTGAATTAGTTAAACAAGCCTAAAGATTCCGACTTCGAATTTCAAACGCTAAACTACAAATCATAGTTATAGTTGTGCAGTCAAACGTTTGAGATTCGGAGCTGGAATACTAACATTTTAGAGAAAATATATTCAGACCGAGAAATTCACAGCGACAAGAAGCATGAGATAAGGGAACCGATTTTTTATGAATAGTCTCCTTCACAGTTCCCTGCGCCATCTTGAAAGGAGGTAGCTGTGGCTTTGCATCGAAGCGAGACGAACGGTGAGCTTGCAATTATAGAGACCTTTTTTAAACACCTTGTAGAATTAATCACATGTCTCTATCATTGCAAGCTCACCGTTCGTCTCGCTTCGATGCAAAGGCACGGCTACCTTTCAAGATGGCGCAGGGAACTGTGAAGGGGACTATTGCACGTGTTCATCAGAGTGTTCACGCCAGTCCTGGTGTAGAAACCAATAGATACGATAGAAACCCTTTTGATTGACGTCCACCCAAACTCAATGTTTCGTTTGTGATGAAGGTCTAGTTGGTCGAGTATGACTGGGAATCGCAGTAAGATTCAAAATGATATAGGGATGAAGGGAAAGCAAAAGTACTTTTAAAATGTTGTAAATATACTTTTTGTGTAAATTAGACTTATTTTAATATGTAATATGTTTAATACACCTATAATTATAAAGAATGTCTGTTATTTTACAAGACCTTATTTCTTTTAATGTCGGGAAATGATTAGTGCTAGCTGATTCGTAACGCGCATGCGCACTTAGGATTTATTTTATTCTTTCAAAATTATCAAATATATCAATCCATTTTACAATGACAGAGCCATTAAAAATTAAGACCCTGTTGGCAGGGTAGAACGGATTACCTGGTTGGGACAGTTTATCTGAGTCTCTAAGAATCCAAAGAAGCCAGTGGAATTAAGTCAGTGCAGAGTTTCAAAAGACAGTGATAGAGCTACCAATGTACTATGAATGCCATATTTGGGCAAATTGTTTAGGCCATAATGTCATATTTCTATCATAATGTCAATCGGGAAAAACATTTTCAATTCCAATTTCTAGAAGTCCTTGACACCGGAATTCGGATTTTCGCATACAGGTCATCACTGCGGGGAGGTGGGTGGGAATTCGGATTTTCGCATACAGGTTATCACTGCGGGGAGGTGGGTGGGGCGTTGACGAGTCGACCACCAAGACCGTTAAGCAAAGGGATCGAGTGAAATTATTCATTCTGAAGTCTCGTATTTATAACCTAACCAATTAGGTTGTCAACTAGTGATCCCCGGAAGTATCGGAATGAGTGTATAACCACGGGATGCGGAATTTGGACGTTTTGTCGCGCTGGTGCCGAGTGGGAAAAGTCTTGAATTTTAAGTCATGTTAATTGGTTACCTGAGCAGGAACCCTGTAATAAGATCTATCTAGTTGAATGACTTTATCTGAGATAAAGTTGAAACCGACTTTAGATGGTGACGTGTATGGACCTCAAAACCAGGGGCTTGAAGATTCGCTGCGCTCACTCGTGAAATATTTTCAACACTCGAAGATAAACTTCATATCTTCGCGCCACCTCGTAATATCCTCTATATTTTTTTATCCTCTATTTGCTAAATAAACATTTCAGGTCCTATTTATGAACGTTTACCCTAGATTATTGCAGTGAAAAAGAACATATGAGGGGTGTGCCTTGAGATTTGTTGTAAATGTTCTGGCCACATATTCCTTTATAGAATATCATATTTGCCCAAACCCCCGTCCCCCGTCAAAAATCTAATAGTCCGTCCTTCATGTGAAATAAAGTTAAACCTTGCTCTAAAAGACATTGAGTTTCATCAGACTTTGGTCCAATGGGATCGAACGTACACTGTCACGTGTATGGACCACTAACCCCGCGATAAAGTCTTGTTCATTGATATTCACACCTGCGTGAAAACTATTGTATAGCAAAGGGAACCCAATCTCTGAAAAGTGCAACTAGCAACCAAAAGTGCGCCACAGGGCGGTTTGAAGTAATTTCTTTTCCCAGCTGTTTCACAAACTTAAACCAACAAAGATACAAAGAAATGAGATACTTTATTTGTATATATAATCTATGGTATTCCAATTACAAGTCAAATGTGAGCAGATTTATTTGTGGTTCAATATAGTTAGTTTTAACTCAGGCCGTTCTCACAGAAAGAGAATACTTTAGAGAAGAAAGCAAGACAAGTTTTGCCCTAATACTTTACGATCAAGGTCAGTCATGTTTTACATTGAGTGAATGTACACTCTCTTTATACAGAAAGAGTAACACAACAGTGATTATCTAAATGCCATGGGTTTGCTCATACCAACACAGGCAGCCCAAGCACTGTAATACAGTGCTTACAACAGCTTTGAATGTGAGCGATTAACGGTCAAAATTCGAATCCTTTAAATTGCAGTTTATTTGAATAATAACGACTTACCTTGATAACTTGTTGTGTCTTTTATTACTTGGCCGAGTTTGAATACATTTGGACGCATATTTATAGTGGAGGGAAAAAATTCGATAACCCAGTGAAAATGTGTCTTTAAACTCGGCCAAGTAATAAAAGACACAACAAGTTATCAAGGTAAGTCGTTTTGTATGAATTTTGACCATTAATTGCTCACATTCAGAGCTGTCATAAGCACTGTATTGCAGTGCTTGGGCTGCCTGTGATACCAACAGCATAATTCAAACTGGGGTTTGTGTAACGATATTGCGATAATGATTAAAGATTCTTCAGATCTAGCTTTAAGTTTACTTAGGAAAAGGAAGATCAAGGTTTCTTTTTTAGCTTTATGAAAACCAAGATTAACTATGGAATTCTATGTTTATTCCCAAATTGCTTTTTATAGACTGAATCAAGAATTCCCTGCAGGCGCAAGAGCAAGGGATCCTTATCTATTCTCCCTAGAATATATTTTGGCTTATAATGAAGAGTCCAAATGGAAAATTAGATTTTAATTATGAGTAGATGTTTCTTACTAGCAAACAAGCCTTCCACTATCTTGACATTTTTTATCAAGAAATTTTAAGCACGGCACTCTTGTGTGGCACCGTTAAGTTATAAAAAATGTTAATTCAATAAAAATTTACATAATCATGTTAGCCATCTCACTCAAATGACCTTCAAACCTTCGTAACAATGTCTGTCTGTTCGAGGCTTCTGACTGTCAGTTGAAATTAATAAAAGTATGAAAAAACCTACAATAAAAATAAAATTTTAAATTTCTGCTTTTGGCAATTACATTTCCTTAAAAGATCTCATTGTCAACAGAACTTTTAAAGCACTAAAATTCAACACAATCAAAATGGTTTTGTCGGTATTGTCGCCATTGCCTAATCGATTGACTCTGGGAAGCCTTTGTTATTGTAAATATTAATTATCATCATACAATATAATGAATTATTACTCCTAGCTTGGTTGTTAGGTGTTTCTAGATGTGGCCTCTTTGGCTGCTAATATGAGAGGTACCAGGCTTGCTAGAGGCTTGGCTTGTTTAAGGAATGGGTGCTGAAAAACGACAACACTGGAAAGTTACAACTTATGAAAAATAATCAGATAATTACGTACTACTTTAGAAGAGTGGTTTTCATAAACCCGTGAAATACACACTAGCCTAATACAAATTAGTAGACCCTTATTCCATTGTGTTCTTTTGTTGTCATTTCACTATTACACACTAACTATTGGTATTTGTTTCAAGAGTTTATGAAAATCACTCTAATGGTTAAATAGTCAAAATAACAAAAGAAACATTTCATGCACAAATAAATAAGGTGTGGATTGAAAATTCAAATAAAGAAGAAAAAAATAGAAAAGGAAAAGGAGGGAAAGGAAGGCACTCAAAAAAGGGAAGGAATGAAGAAAGGAAGAGGAAGAGGTGGTGGAAGAAAGGAAGTAAGTAAGAACCAAACCACTGTAGTCAGTACTATAGCAGTTTGTTTCAGTTTCTTGCTGGCATACTCACGAGTAGAAGCTCTCTAGCTGAAGCTCTCTTTTCTACATCCATTTCTAATGACTGTGCAAGAAAGTCTTTAAATACTGGAGACAGTCTTTCTGGGTGAGCCAGCTCTGGGGTACCATTTGTAGCGATCAAATATAATGCCTAGATAGAGTAACAAACAATATATCATTATACCCAATCATCTATTTGGATGCAAGGTTTACTTTAATGTTACTCTTGAAAATAGTATTCTTTGGTCTAGCTGCATCTATACTCTTTTATGCATAACTGGTAAACAAAGGAATAATACTTAGAGTAAGTGCAAGCAATCTAAAATGGGAAAGCTCCATAGGGTTTTATCTGCGCGCTACTGTGTAACTTCAAATCGCAAATACCCGGACGCAAACGATCCAATACTAAGATTTTTTTAGAGGTTTCAAGGGAAAGATGAAATTTTCTAATGAGCATGTTTTTACTGAAATCGGGATTAATATAAAATCGCTGTTAAGCGTCAGTGCGTTTATTTTATTGCCTATTTTCTCCATTTTTTGATCTAAGATTTTAAATTGCTTTTAAGAGTAATGTAGTCCGTAAGGATCGAGTAAATTAAGAATAGGTTGGCCAGTCAATCTCACGAATTTTGCTCAAATTTGGTATATAAACTTGGTTTCGGGCCCTAAGTACGAAATGGATAATTTTTTGCGCAAAAACATTTTTACGACAAAATTCGGGGGGAGGGCCAGTTTTGGGTCCATGGTTGGCTGGTTACGACACAGTTCAAGCACTGTTTTGGTGGCGCTAGAAAAAATAAAATATTTATAAGTTCTGAATGATTTTGATATCAAAATGAACCCTGGTTCATACTCTTCCTTTATACATAGTAAAACCTGGTAATTATTTAAAAGGGTTTGTCAAATGACTCCCATTTGCCTGGGAATGGGAAGTTGGTTGGGGGTGGGGATATTGTAATGAAAGGTACCTACCCTTAATGGATTTTCATTCAGGTATGGTGGCTCCCCTTCAACCATTTCAATTGCCATTATACCTAAACTCCAGATGTCCACCTAGAAACAAATTAGTACATCAGACATTATCATTATACTACAGGAGGACCCTTATAGAGTGGTACTGTATATCATACCCTTGGTCCATACTGTTTTCTTGTAACAACTTCAGGAGCCATCCAGTATGGTGTTCCTACCATGGTAGAACGTTTATTCTGCTCTGGTGTTATGGTAGCACAGAAGCCAAAGTCAGCTGCAAAAAACATGAACATAAAAATTTATGTACATGGTATGGGGTTCTTCAGATCTTTGTTTTGGGGCCTTTTTAGAAGTTGCAAATCTCACTATTTGTAGGCAATTTACGATAGGACGTTTGCATGATGGCGTCATTTGACTCCCACTACCATAATGCTTCACGAATTTTCTTTCTTACCGTAAATCCTCTATTTAGCCCCCCTTCTCAAATAAGCCCGCCTCTTTAATAAGCTCAAAAGGGTGTGAGTAGTTTTTGATATTTTGCTTCTTTAAAAAGTTATTAAATTTTAAAGTTGGAACGTCGAAAAATTTCAATGCCGGTTAATGTTCTACCGCATAAAAGACAAAATACTCAAAATATCAAAACTCGCTCACATCCTTTTGTAGATTATCTTTTGCTTATTCACATAGTGAAATTCTTTTGGCTATACGCACTAACGCTATTTTTCTTAATTCACTTTTAGGGAACATACCCTATTTGTGTTAACAGCTTGGCATTGTTTCAAATTAGAAAATCACTTTGAAATAATATGATTTTCGAAATCTTTATCATATGACAGCTTTAAAACGTTATATAGTATTAGGGTTTTTTGTTTAAAATGTTGCGTAGAGAGAGTTTAAGAGAAACATATCCCTGAAGGTCTCCAGTAACCTTAATAAAAGAAAGTGTGCAGGCAGTCTGGTAGGAGAGGTCTATGATGGCCAATGGTTGTCATCCATTTTTACCCTATTTTTTTCCAAACGTATAGCTATTTTTATTCTAATTTTGATTTTAAGTCCTATTTTGATGTGAAAATAAGTTTAATCTTACTATCAGATTGAAACTAAATCTAAAATAAAAGTGTTATCATTTGTATGTCATTTTTCAAAATAATATTTTAAAAAATCGACGTCGTCCTTTTTATCAAAAAAACCCTTCTCATGGCCTATTGTTATCATTATCAAAGTATCCCACGCCATTATCCTTAACCATGTACGACAAACAACGATGGTTGGAAGGAATATCTACGTTTGCAATTAGACTTAAAGGATTTACAATATCTATGAGATCAGTATTTTAGTATTTTACTTACTCAGTTTGACCTGTCCATCCATTCCTAAAAGAATATTATCACTCTTTATATCTCTATGAATGACACCATTACTGTGTAGGAAATCAAGGGCCTGTAAACACTAGAAAGACAAAGCCCATGATTCAACTACAAGTGAACTTAAATAAAAGAATATATGCCATCCCAGCAAGAGAATATGAACTAAGAGAAGGGATCCCCGCGCCCCATCATTAGCACTCTTTGATGCTATTTTTAGAGTCATTTATTTGGGGGTTTGTTTTTCTTCACGCGAATAATGCGTGCGCTCTACCCTGTTTTCTTTTGTTTTTTTTTAAAAAACCGTAAGCAAACAGCGTAGAGCGCGGGCAGTAGTGCGCTTGTACAAAAAAAACTATGGCAAATGCGATTCTAAAAATAGCATCAAACGGTGCCTATGATGGTTACAAGCATGAATACCAAAGATTCCTTCTCTTAGTTCATTTTCTCTTGCTCCCAGTGAATCACATGCCATATGAAGCTTGCTCTGGATTTCTACTGAATCTTCGTAGTACATCCACACAATGACCCTATGCCTACAAGTATTTGTAGTAGCATGTAAGGCACCTTACCTCTCTACATACAGATGCTATCTGTCCCTCATCCATACATGTTTCTGTCACCACATCTGTTAATGATCCTCCTGCTAAGTATTCCATCACAACCCACAACTCTTCACCAACTAAATAGCTGTCTACATAGTTTACAATGTTGGGGTGCTTGTTTTCCCTCATCACTAGAATCTCATTGATAATTAGCTCCTGTAAACAGATAGAGACAAATTAAGTTCATTGGATGATAATAATGACAATATTTATAATGGCTTTACGGTCTTTTGAATGCTCTGAAAGTAAAAGTCGATTCACTTCTTGCGGCGTGTCATGGCTTCTAGGGGCTCCATCATCCCGGCTAAAATATTTTTTGGAGCAACGGAATGGCGTTCCTACGGCTGTTTTCTTTTTGCAAAACCCCGAAAATACAACGATCGAAAGTTTACTAAATCTTTGATTTATATGTTTTTCTACGAATGTATTGCTTAACACACGCTTGTGTACTAGGCAAAACCCTTGCACTTGTTGATCAACAAGTCCCGTAAATGACGTCAAAGCGAGGTACCAACCTCTCCAAAATTTCGCTAAAGGGAGCCCATTTGAAAAGTGGACGTTTTCCAAGAATGTTTCACGGCAGTCTAGTTGTGCAACATGAGCCAGGCAAAAAGCTTTCGAAAAATCTAAACTTACATTCAGTTAAACTTAACAAGAAGGAAAGGAAAGGAAAGGAAAGGAAAGGAAAGGAAAGCGGAAATAGTTTTTAGTTTTTAGACGCCTTGTTTATTTTTTCAGTTAAAAATGTGTTCAAACCAAGAGAATATTCTCTTGGTTCAAACGTAAAACATTTGTTCCACAACACATCCTAGTAACACTATATAAATTACTCATACAGCCCTATTGATTTTATGGCTAGTTGATCTAAATCTGTCTCTAATTTCTCTAAATGTATGATGTTGTTAACGGACTTGCACCGTTTAATATTTGTAATTTGCTTTCTTTTTAAGTAACTTCCACTCACATAATACTAGATCATTTGCATCTAAAAACTTGTACACCAAATGTTTTCGAACTTATCTTCGGAAAAACTTATTTTCTTGTCTTGGCGTTTGCTTATGGAATCAAATTCCAAACTCTATACGAGATTTCATGTCAAAACCAGCTTTCAAAAAGAAAATTAGACAACTTCTCTTTGCTTGTTTAACCAAATCTGGCTATGAGGTTGATCTTTTTTCTACTTGCTAAATGCAAACTTTACTTTTTTCATTATTTTATAGAAATCGTTATTTTTTAATATATATACTTATGAAATTCCTTGTGCGTTTATAAAGATATATATTTAGTCTCATATTGATCCTGTTCATTTGCTTAGAGATAATGTTGTAAAATAAGCTAGACATTTGTTTTTTTGTTTTCTTGTCTTTTGTTGAACACAAACCCACCTAGATTAGCTTTGCTATTTGTGGGGGAGTGTATTATATTCATGTAGACAGAGCGGAAAAACCGGACGCATGCGCATTAGAGACTATTTTCATGAGCAATCCAATATGGCGGACGAAGGGCGGTAAAAATCTGTCTCTAGGAAAATTGCTCTAAAAATGGACAAAAACGCAGCAATGACACTCAAAACTTTTGATCACAACTCGTAATCTGCCACAGT